AGGGGAGGGCTTCAGGAAAATGGTGTCTACTCAGTCACCTGGGTGATTCTGTATAGCACATTGTTCTGAGTATTCTTTGATTTTTACAGCTAATATTCTATCAACTTGTGAGCTCTCCTGACGCATAGTGGCTGAATTGTATATCAGCAATTTGAGTCAAAAACTGCTCTCGTTTCTTCTATTTCCTGAATTGTGATAATTTACAGCTACATTCATTTTTCATTTTTTTTTTACTATTTCAATGACTTGACATTACCTGGTGTTCTCTCTTCGTGTATCCAGTTCTCTTTTTGCCCCATATTGGCAAAAATGTAACTAATTAATTTGCACTTATTTATACCTATATTTAGATGTATATTTGATCCCTGTTATATCATCTACAATTTCATGGACACATAGGCCAACTAAGTTATTATTATTATTATTATACAGTATTTATAAAGCACCAATAGTTCACTCAGCGCTGTACATTACAAAGGGGGACAGAACATGTGACAGAACAATACCAATACAATGCAAAACATGAGGGGATCGAGGGCCCTGCTCTTTCGAGCTTACAATCTAGAAGGGATGGGATAGTGGTACAGGAGGAGATAGCTGTGGGGGATGGAGTGGTAGGAAGAGTGGAGGAGGTCAGCAAGTTAGCAGGGGGTGAGGTAGGCTTCCCTGAAGAGATGGGTTTTCAGTGTGCGCCTAAAGGAGAGGAGAGTAGGTGATAATCTGATGGGTTGGGGAAGGAGTTCCAGAGGATGGGTGACACCCTGGAGAAGTCCTGGAGGCGGGCATGGGAGGAGGAGACCAGGGAACTAGAGAGAAGGAGGTCTTGTGAGGAGCGGAGTGTGCGTGCTGGGCGGTACTTGGATATTAGGTCAGTGATGTAGTTCGGGGCAGTATGGTGGACAGCTTTGTACGTCAGTGTTAGGATTTTAAATTTGATCCGTTGCGCAATCGGAAGCCAGTGGGGGGATTGGCAGAGGGGGGTGGCGGAAACGGAGCGGTTGGAAAGGTGAATGAGTCTGGCAGCCGTATTCAGGATCGACTGAAGCGGGGATAGCCAGCGGCGAGGCAGGCCAGTAAGGAGGGAGTTGCAGTAGTCGAGTCGTGATATGATGAGGGAGTGGATGAGCTGTTTAGTGGTTTCTGGGGTAAGGAACGCGCGGATTTTGGCGATGTTGCGGAGGTGGAGTCTGCACGAGTTTGTTAAAGATTGGACTTGGGGCTGGAAGGATAGGTTGGAGTCCAGAATGACACCAAGTACTCTGGCCTGCGGGGTGGGTTTGATATTGGCGTTGTTGGATGTGATGTAGAAGTCAATGGGGGGTGGGGTTCGGGCTGGGGGGAAGACAAGGAGCTCGGTTTTGGAGAGATTCAGTTTAAGGAAGTGGAGCGACATCCAATCTGATGTGTCGCTCAGTAGGTGTGTGATTTGGGCAGAGACCGAGGGGGTGAGGTGAGGTGGGGGGGTTGAGAGATAGATTTGTGTGTCGTCGGCATAGAGGTGGTAGTTGAAGCCGTGAGAGTGTATGAGTTGGCCAAGGGAGGAGGTGTAGATGGAGAAGAGAAGGGGCCCAAGAACAGAGCCTTGAGGGACCCCAACAGAGAGGGGGAGGTGGTAGCATTATAGGTAACGCTGAAAGAGCGTTGTGACAGGTAGGATGAGAGCCAGGAGAGAGCAGAATCTCTGAGGCCGAGGGAGTGTAGTATTTTGAGGAGGAGGGGGTGGTCAACTGTGTCGAAGGCCGCAGAGAGGTCAAGGAGTAGGAGCACTGAATAGTGGCCATTAGCTTTGGCGGTTAGCAGGTCGTTGGAGAGTTTGAGTAAGGCAGTTTCGGTGGAGTGTAGGGGGCGGAAGCCAGTCTGTAGGGGATCGAGGAGGTTGTTGTTGTTGAGGTGAGAGCATAGGCGGGTGTAGACGAGGCGCTCGAGGAGTTTAGATGTAAGTGGGAGCAGGGAGATGGGTCTGAGGTTGTTCGGGTCATTGGGGTCCAGGGAGGGCTTTTTAAGTATGGGGGTGATGTGTGCATGCTTCAGTGGGGAGGGGAAAGTGCCGGAGGAGAGGGAGAGATTAAAGATGTGGGTGAGGGAGCGTAGGATGGAGGGGGAGGGAGGTCGTAGGAATTGTGAGGGGATAGGGTCGAGGGGGCAGGTGGTGAGGCGGGCATCAGAGAGGATCTTGGAGACTTCCTCGATGGTAGTAAGGTCAAAGGTGTGGAGTGTTGGGGGAGCTTCAGTATGAGGAATGTAGGGTGGGGTGGGAGTGGAGGTCAGAGCAGTGGTGGGGTCGTGGGAGAGGGGTGATGAGGGGAAACTGAGTGAGGGGGAACAGGGTTGGAGGGAGTTTGAGCAGTGACGAAGTCCCTGCGGGTAATGTCGAGGGGGAGGGGGGATGAGGGGGTAGCTGTGTGAGAGGGGACGGGTTGAGAGGGGGTGTTAGTTGCGGCAATGTCCTTGCGAATTGTGTCAATCTTGTTTTTGAAGTGATTGGCAATCTCAAGGGCGGTGAGTGAGGTGCTGGGTGGAGGTGGGGGTGTGGAGAGAGTAGAGAGTTGAAGGTGGAGAAGAGTCGGCGAGGATTGGAGGAGAGGGCCTTGATGAGGGTCAGGAAGTAGGCTTGTTTGGCTGCGTGGAGGGAGGAGGTGTAGGTGCGGAAGGCAGATTTGTAGCAGGTGAAAGCTTGTTGGGATTTTGTTTTGCGCCATAGTCGCTCCAGGGCATGACTGCGTCGTTTGAGGGTTTTTGGTGTGATCAGTCTGCCAGGGCTGGAGCGGTCGGAGTCTGATGTTGCGTGTGGTTAAAGGCGCTAGTGAGTCAAGGGCTGCTGACAGCGCGTTGTTGTAGGCAGTCATAGCCAAGTCGGGGCAGGACAGGGGGAGGATGCGGTCGTGGAGTTGATCAGCTGCAGAGTGGAGGGGGGCAGGGTTAAGGTTGCGGAGGTTACGGCTGGTAGTAGTGTGACATTTGGAGGGGTAGGCGTTGGAGGACAAGGAGATAGAGAAGGTGATCAGGTTGTGGTCAGAGAGAGGGAAGGGGGTGTTAGTGAGGTTGTGGGGAGCGCAGCGGTTGGAGAAGACAAAATCAAGGATATTACCGTCGGAGTGGGTGGTGGATTGTATGCACTGTGCAAGTGCAAAGGAGGAGGTTAAGTGGAGGAGACGGGCTGTGTCTGGGTTGTCAAGGTTCTTTAATAGCGCATTTTAATATGCAGTAGTAGCTCAGTGAGCCTGACATCTAGGGTGAGCCGGCATGTTCTTTTATACTCTTGATTATTATGTTCATTGTGTGGATGTATGTCATAACTCCGTTGTTTATGTATATTCTTTTTGATATATTGTAGACTGTATTGCGGTTGAAGCTTTTTGTCCCTCTCCCCTGAAGAAGCCCTTGTTGGGCAAAACATGTAGGGAATCACTGCAACAATACAGCCAAGCTTCAATTTTTGTTTTTACAGTATTGTAATTTATGCTTTCCCCTTTTTTTTGTAAGATTAAATAAAATTTATTGTGGTATTTAAATCGGTTTATCACTGTAAATTTGCACCCTGAAAATCCCACACTATCTAGTTCAACATTTTCAAATTCCAGGGATGTGGTGCGATTTATATATCTCGTCACTCACTCGCCACTTCTTGACAATTTTGAGTTAAAGAATATGCAAACCCAAGATTTCATATTCCTGGTGTATGCCATTAAACAGGCTGAACTGCTGTAATACTGACACTCAGTGGCTGAATATCTCCTTGCCATGGGAACTCTGCCATACTGAAGTCTCTATCTGCTCAACCCAGCTCTGATGAAGAAGGGAGCACCCTTTGAAACGCGTTAGCCTTCATCCCCCCCCCCTTTTCGATTTACCTGTAACCCTGTTTGGATTATGGTTACTTATGCCTGTTATACCATCACTTTGTGAGTATATTTCCTTATTAATAAAATTAGTCACTATTTATTGAGGTAATGCGCAAGGTTTGTGCGCTCTTTCTTTCATCTTCCTCTACAGTATGCCTGCTGTACCATGTACTTGTATGAAAGTATCCTGTTGTCTTTGTATTGCTTCCTTTGTGTGATATCCCTGGCATACCTGCCAGTCCCTCTGCCTTCCTATTAAAGTGGTGGTAAACTCTTATTTTTAACTTTTACCAACAGGTAAGCTTATATTAAAAAAAAAAAAAAAAAAAAATCTCTTTCTTTCTTAGAGCCGATGCATGTGCTCTGAAGGACTGGTATAGCCATGCCGTACCTTCAGAGTACTGTGCCGTGGCCGGAGACTCTTGTGTGCATGTGCAGGAGTGACGTCATTGTGGCCCGACCAGTCAGACAGATGGAGCTTGCGAACCCGGAAGAAAGACCAGGTGAAGATGGAAGCCTCTGCAGCGGTGACAGCGTGCCGCTGGAGGGCTTCATTTTAAGGCAAGTCATTCATAATGTGCTAGTATGTGATGCATATTAGCACATTATGACATTACCTTGCCGGGGATTTTTTTATTTTTGTTTATTACCGCATTAAAAGCTGACCACACTAAGCAGGAAACACACTGGTCAGTTCTCTAGCTGTGCTGGGAACTCAGTGTGCTCTTCTCCGATGAACAGACTTGTCCTGAGACACCCCCCTGTACAGCCTTTCCCTGAGATCAGTGCGATGCGGTTTCTCCTCCCCTAGTTCTTATACAGCTGAGAACAGAGAACAGTGGGAATGTAACCACTTATACTTATAAAAAAATATTATATACACCTTTTTTTTTTTATCTATACACAAATGTTTTGCCTTTCATTGCTATTTTAAACTGAATGGGTTGTTTGACAAGGTGAGGGTTTGACAAGGTGAGGGTTTACAATCACTTTAAAAGACATCTTTGTACACAGTGAATATACTCCAACAATTACAAATGTCAATAGAATACCATTCACTGCCTCCAATGTAAAACTTACGCTGGCAGCAGTAGGGGTATTTACATCAGCCAAGAGTGCATGTATACTTGTCCAGCAGACACATAAAAAAGGTCTTACCTTTCTCCATATAATTTCCTGCCCTGTGAACGCGAGGGGCATATTGATTCCATTCAGAGCCATCCAGTCTATCTCCTTCTCCCATCTGGCCCAGTCCCACCAGACAAATGAATAACTGGAAGTGCAGACATTCTGATAGTAGCGAAACCTAAACATCAAACAGAGAAGTCAAGTGCGCCATTTTGTAACGTAAACATTTATTACATCGAATATCTAATTCACTTTAAGATTTTAAAAGCAAAATTCTTGCCCCCAAAACACACACACACACACACACACACACACACACACCACTGGATGACAGAAAAGCCTCCTATGTGTCCCTCTCGGATTTAATTTTATGCTGTTATTGTGTTACGGAGGCTGTGTTTGATTTCATAGCTAGGCCCTGCCACATGCCATTTAATTGTCCAATGAGATTATCTTTACTAACCATTGAAATCAATGTGTAGGAAAAATCCAAACTTGACCTTAACTTGGCCGAAACCCATCCCTTAAGAGTACTTAAACCCAAATTCTGGACATGTACATATTGTACCAATTGAGGCACAGATAAATCTTAGGCATTGAAATTGAAATGTGCTCACACCAGGCAAAGGAGGATTTCCAGATTATGATGGTAACATTGTTCTGAAAGTAGTTTTTTTTGGTTTTGAGCAATCTGGAAATTACAGAACCGAAGACACCCCTACCCTACATCTCCCAAGACCTGGGTTTTAACAGCCATGCCATTAATACCAGTAAGTGAGAAATAGGATGGAAAAGTGGATCCTGTGCTAGAAGGTCTGGTCTGTTTGGGAGAAGTCAGAGATCATTTCGTAGAGGTCTGAGTATGTGTGGCAGGTTCTCTTGGTCTTTTCACCACTTTGGTGCAATGAAAACCACTGGCTTCTTCTCTTTTGTTCAATGGAGGGAAGGCATATATGAACTGGAATACGCTCCAGAGAATCCTAGGTCCTGGCTATGAACACAGTGGTAGCTTGATATTGCATCAGGGGCCAGGATGTCCACATCTGGAGTTCCCCACTGAGATAGGAGACTGAAGATGTCAGGATGAAGTGCACATTTCCTTGGGTGACCCTTGAGATGTGGGTTCATGGATTCAGAGCTAGTTTTATCTGAGCTCCAGGATTTTGATATGGAGCTTAGCTTCCTTGGGTGACCCTATTCCCGGACTGTGAGAAATTAGAACACTCCTCCCCAGCACGTGAGGCTTGGCGTCTCATATACCCTTCATTGTGTGGTAGAATCAGCTTCACCATTGTCAAGGCTATATTGGAAATCCACTAAGATATGGAGTTCCTATCTTGTTGAAGAGGCTTATATGGAGACAGAGGAGAAGCATGTTTGTTCCAGGCCAACAAGATGTTGTGAAGGGTATGGTCTCCAATGAAGCTACCATGAGGCCCATCAACCTCAGATCTCATTAAAAGATATCTCTTTGATATGAGGATCACAGCATGAGATTATAGAGAGAGAAATTTGTTTTCCGGAAGAAAGACTTTGGCCTAGGCTGTGTCGAGAGGTCTAAGTTTTCAAGGCAATGGGTAGATTGGAGGACAACATTTTGAAAGCTGATCACCCAACCGAAGGCCTGAAGCATCTGAATAGCTGTTTGGATGTTTTCGAGTAGCTGAAGGGGAGATGAGTGTCAGGGATAGGTTCCTGCTACTTAATGAGCAGCTCTTTTCTTTCAGTGCTCAGAAGCTGCTCAGCTGTCGGTTAATTACCAGCTACTCATTGTCTCCACAGTGACTCACCTCTATAACTTCAATGGGTATTGTCATTCTTTTTTGAGAAATCTGGGGTCTATCAGACTCTAGATATCTCCTCTGCCCTTACATTATCTAATCTCACCAAGATCAGTGTGATCAGATGCTTTCCCAATTTACAAATGGCGCTTTTTATATCCTGCAAAACTAAAGTGATGAAATGCTCGTAGCTTCCGATTTCTTAGATTATAGAGATGATTGGCACCATTCCAGTCTCCAATCAGCTCTATGGTTAGCTGGCAGAAACACCGGCTGCATTCTCAGGTTCCCCCAATGGCACGGGACTGCCCAGGAAGGCCGTGGAAGGCAGCGGGGAAGGGGGCATAATCTCCCCCTGCTTGTAAAAGCAATCCTGCTGCTAATTAGCCACTAGGATTGCTTTTACATGAAAACCGATTGCTGGCTGAAAAAAAAACGATACCAGGATGATGCCTGCAGCTGTAGGCATCATCCTGGTATAACCAAAGTCCAGTGATGTAGCAGTACATCGCTGGTCCTTGTTGGGTATATATGCTATGTTTTTTTTTGTATGCAGCCTGTGGACTGAATGAAAAAAAAAGCAGAAGAAAAGACATTTCTGCCATAAAAAGTGTGTGGTATGCCCACCATTAAAATATACCGCCCTGCATCCACCCACTTCTAATGGTTGGCATACATTAGGTTGCACCATGCCACATGCACCAATTCCAAGAATGTACAAATGTCTAAACAGTGGCACGCTTGAATAAAAATTGTCCACGTATAAGTGGTACTCCATATGGAAAAAGGATTACACCAAGTCCCAAACTATCTTGCCACTTTTTCCCATGTAGTCTAGGCATCCGGGGGAGCTCCACTTTCCTTAGTAAATCCGAAACGTATATGTATAGCCTGTTGCCCTCTCACAGGTCTTATACAATCAGGTCCATAAATATTGTGACATCGACACAATTCTAATATTTTTGGCTCTATACACCACCACAATGGATTTGAAATGAAACGAACAAGATGTGCTTTAACTGCAGACTGTCAGCTTTAATTTGAGGGTATTTACATCCAAATCAGGTGAACGGTGTAGGAATTACAACAGTTTGCATATGTGCCTCCCACTTGTTAAGAGACCAAAAGTAAATGGGACAATTGGCTGCTCAGCTGTTCCATGGCCAGGTGTGTGTTATTCCCTCTTTATCACAATTACAATGAGCAAATAAAAGGTCCAGAGTTCATTTCAAGTGTGCTATTTGCATTTGGAATTTGTTGCTGTCAACTCTCAAGATGAGATCCAAATAGCTGTCACTATCAGTGAAGCAAGCCATCATTAGGCTGAAAAAACAAAACAAACCCATCAGAGAGATAGCATAAACATTAGGCGATCCTCAGCTCTACCTCTGAAGAAGTGCGTGCGCACGAAACGCGTCAGCTGGAGCCCAGGACGCCATTGACACTACGCCGCCGGTGCCACGTGGAGGCCCGGCGGCCATCTTTAATCTTAAAGGGTCAGTCATTTGATTAAACCTGGCACCATTGTGAGTTTTTTCTGAACACTCCTGTTTTTCTTGAATAAAATCATTTTCATCAACCTACTACACTATGGGTTCTTTCCTGTGTCTTCTGCGATGAGCCTTTTCAGCTTCTGCAGACCCAGATTGATCCCTGCACCAGCCTTTGAGAGGAGGAATTTTCCACTTCACACACTTCTGTAAGGATTTCTGTGACCTGCTGGACCTCAATTTCGCCACATGAGGGCGCTTCATCTCTACTATCTCCAGCTCCTGCCCATTACCAGACCAGAAAAGAGAGGGGAATCTCCATATCATATACACATGCGTATTATTAATATGTTTCTGGTTAGTGCGCATTTCTAACTTTTGCACTGGGAATCAGCGAGCACCATTACTGGACTGTGATTTATTTATTTATTGATTTATTCATTTGCTTTGGTTTCATTTATTATTTATATCTGCCCGCAACACAGTAACATCACACAGCGCTGCATTTTCTTTATATATATATTTTTGGGACTTTTATGTGTTTTCCTTGAATGTTCAGCTGCTGACCATTGGAGCGCTCACTGTGTTTTTGATACTTCATAATATCCACATCCATTTTCACAGCCACAGGAGTCACGGATTTTTCACCATATATTACTACCATTGGATAGATTGACTTTGTCACTAATGCCACTATATGCACCTTTGACGTTTTATACATGAGATTGTTTTACATTATTGATTTCAGCGCCATCAAGCATTGTTCACACTGGGTTCGTTTTCAATTGATAATTATGCACTTAGATGGTCAATATTTTTATTTATTTAACTGAGGCTTTTAGCTCTCCATATACTTATGTTTATATGTACAACTTTGTTTCCTATCACTTCTCACGTATCGGCTATTTACCGATACTCCTAATGGCCATCTAATCCTGTGTGCTCTCTCAATCTGCAGGTTTTCTGTCAGAGGTCTTCCCATTATTGGATTACACACACTTTATTTTTTTCCTCTAGATCCTCTTCCTGTTCTTCTGGTAGGCCCCAGATCCTTAAATTCCCTCTTTTGCGGTTCTACTGGTCCTCTAATTTAAATGAAAGCTCTCTCTGTATCTCCTCCACCTGTGTTTCCAGTTTATTAATTGAGCGTGTGCTTTCATTTTCTCCTCTGCCTCTTCCACTTGCATTAGTATCCGACCCAAATCATTGCATAATAGCCCCATCTCATTTTTCAGGCACATCTCCAATTTTGCAAACATTTCCGCCTTGTCAATTTTTGTAGGCATTTGTAACATAGCTATTTGTTGTTCCTTGACACTTTCAAAGCTCATCGATTCATTAGTCAGGTTCCCTTCCTGTGACCCAGCTGACAGTCTAGAATGGTCTCCGTCAAATTTTCTCCCTCTTTGTTGTTTTCCTGAGTTCGATTCTCTGGGCTTTTCTCCTGAAGGGGCATGTAGTTTTTAATTGTAGTAGCCTTTGCATTTAATTGGGGACTTTTTGAGCCCCTCCTTTAACTGCTTTGCCCTGCTATGTAATCACCAGTGCGTCCCCACGTAGGTTTTCTGCTGTAATACAATAGAATCGTCCCCCAGAGAAATCCCTTTTTTCTATTACTTTTGATGTTTTTTTGCAGCCCATATTTCTATTACCTTAGGGGCCAGAGTAAGTTAAACAGTTCCACTGCCAATAAGAGAACCCCCTGCAGGTTAATCCTCTGTTTCCCCCAAGAACTCATGTGTGTTATGTTATATTTGATAATTTGTGACAAATCAAAATTAAGACTGAAAGTCCTGCCGTTGCCCATGGCAACTCACCATCTCCCTCTACACTGACCTTTCAGGACCAATCAGTCTCTGTTCACTTCTTGACTCCTGTCGTGACCTCCACAACAGACTTCCAATCACAC